CCCCAAAACCCCAAAACCCCAAAACCCCTTAAGGACTTTAAAAAGTCTAAGAAAGTCATAATTTGAAATTTGATTAAAACACAAAACTTTATCTAAGCGAGGAGAGAAATATCAGATCATTCTCTTGTTGTCTAGTACTTTCTTTAGATGATAAACCTAGAATGCTCCTAATCCAATCATTATCAAGATTTCAAGCACTGTTGAATATAAACTATTCTAGGTAGTGTTTTAAACGGCTATAAAGTTATTAGTAAATAGAAAAAATTACTATGAACGTAGCCTTCCATCCTGAAGTTTTAGAATTTATTCTCTGTCATAAAATGTCCCATTTCAGCGTTTGCTTCTTCCAGACTGCTGAATAAAGCAGCCTCTTCTGAAGTTGGAGCAGCATCAGATGGTGACATACCCTAATCTCCTGATGTCTTTTTCACTAGTTTATAGGCAAAGGTGATATCTTAGATATTTGAATCCTTATTAACGAATTTTATTCCATATCTACCAAATTGAGACTATTTGTGGATGTTGTATTCAGAAAAATACTCCTATTTACTTAAAATAGTTTAAATTGCTTGGTCCTTTCCCACGAAAAACTACATATCTTTTAAGAACTTTCAAATTTACGATAAGATCAATAGGACGTGGATCGCTTGAAGTAATACTGTAGGCAAATTTGAGCTTGGAAGGGTAGTGATCAACTTTCATATAGAAAATTTGCTCTCCATAAGGTTCTAATTCCACAGTCAACATATCAATAGGAAGTAAATCACTCATAAATTTTTCTACTTGGGATGCATATACCTGCGAGTTTCTTTCAGAATCATCTTCAAAAATATCCTTGTTATACACTTCTGGATCAATCTCTGAGACTGTGCCTGGATCCTCAACGAAATCACATTGTACTATTCAAGAATGATGAATCGAGATTTTATGCTTACTATTGATAGTCAGAAGAGTCAGAGTGGCAATTGCGTAGATAATATTAGTTCTCATATTTAAATTTATAAATTTGTAAAAGTAAACTAATATAAATTAATAATGAATCATTAATTGTTGCTGCTTGTTAATATAGACTTAGTGAGCACCGACTTTCTTAATTCAGTTAAGTAGTCGTTTACCATTTCTCTTTGAATTTCTGAATCACTTCTGAAGTCAGCCTCCTCGCCATCCTAAATTTATGATGTCTCTAATTTTATAGGGTTTTCTTAAAATGGTGTAGTTTCTTTAGGTGCTATAACTGTACCTCTATTCGACTAAGATGATTATGGTGGTAAACTGAATTGTTGGTGATTATTAATCTAGGTTGACATAAGTTTCTGGACATACGATCTTGCTACTTTTACATCATAGTCTACTTCTTCTGTTTCTACACTGCTGTGAGTAAAACCTGGCCTAGCAAAATTATGAGTACTTGATGACTGTGTATCAGATTTTTCTTTTTTTGAACTCTCATTATTTCTTGATTCTAAGCTTTCCTAAACTTGTGGCTTTGACGTAATTTTATCCTCAGCTTCAGGCTCGTCAGTTTCTACCTTTATCTTATCTTAAAGTTTTAACTCCTCTGCTGGCTAATTCTCGCTCTTTAAAATTTAAGAATTATCTACATTCTTCCCAACACTCTAAGAGTAGTTTGAAGATTCTTCAGGGATATGACTAATAGTTTGATTTCGAGTTGGTTCATCCTAGAAAATTGCTCTTGGAACCGTACCGCTTGAGCGTTAATGCTCATTGCTTCCTCTCTATTCTGAGTCGTTAAAGCTTGATGCTTGCTAATAATCAACTACAGTCTATGCTTGCTCATGGTTTCTCTAGGGAGATTCTTGTTAAATGATTTGAGTTTAAACAGGAACAATCGATTGGTTATAAGTGGGAGGAGGACCAGAGAACATATTGAACAAATCATTTATATAATTAGTTGCCATTTGCTGATTCAACTCTACATTTTGCTAACTTAGAGTACTTCTCTATGTGCCTATTGCATCTTTAATCCTTTACGCTTCTTTTTTAATTTCCAATTTACTCATTTGCTTATCTTGATATTCTTGTTCAAGACTTACTCTATTAGATGACTAAACTAGATGCTAACTTTTTTCCTCGATAACTCTGTGAGTCCTTTACTATATTTCCGGGAGTTTGAATACTTTATCTTCATCTGTTTAATGTATCACTGATTTTGTATTCTCCTTGCGACTCGCATCATCGTTGAAAGTGAGGAAATCATCATTAGAATTGGTTTGTTTACCCTCAAGTTTATCTTAACTGGTCCCTTAAATATTTTATTTCATTGGAGGCGAGCTCATTTTATCATTTGTCTCAAACTTAGTATGATCATTTTACGACTCGTTCCTGGATTACTTAGTCTTCACTTCTGGTTATTTACTCTCTAGAGGCTTCTAAGTATTATCAAGATCATTAAACTTCACTCTTTATGTATCTCCCAATATCAGTGCTTATTATGTTTCTACATTTTAATTATTACTGGCTTCTTGATTTCCTTTTGTCGTAGGAACCTGTTGTTATTTAACTGGTTATACAGTTACCACCTTGTGTGAAGGGTCATTTATTTTCCCCATTGTCTCAAAATTTTAGTTGCCTAGAGTATCTTGCTAAGCTAAGTTTCCTTGCCCAAAAACTTTATTCTTTTTTTCACCGACTAATTTGCAACAGCCCATTTTGAACGCTTATTTTAATTATGAAAAAAATTAGTTTAATTAAAATCAGGATAAAATAATTAATAACATTTCTCCTAATACTCAAAATTTATCATATTATTCAATTTATTTATTATCCTCAGATTGATTGTCTAGTTTTGATATTCTTTGGAATTTAGCTTGAATCCATACTCTATGCATCTTTTTCTAGTCTTTTCTATTCTCAATCAATCTATAATGATACTAATTTTCTACTTGAGTGAATCCAGCATTCTCGAATATTTCTTTTACTTCATCTGTTGTAAAATAATATGCTCTTGTCTTATCACTCCTTATGTAAAAATTGTCTTTTAATTTTTGATTCCCTCTTTATGCTAGTCTAAGCTGCGCGAGATCATACTTCCCATAGTCTCTGAAGTATAAGATTCCATCATCTTTCATTTAATCATAGATCTTCTAAGCAACAGATTTGAAGTTCTCTGGGGATATAGCTGAAAGCACGAATAGCATGATCCCAAAATCTGCTGTTTCCTTTTCAAAAGGAATCTCATCGTTAACTAGATCAACAACATGAGCATTAATTTCATCAGCTTTGTATAATTCATGTTCTTTCACGAAGTTGACTGCTCGTGGTGAAAAATCACAGCAGTTTATTAGAAGTCTACCTTAAAATTCTCTATATAGAGGGTAAAAACCATTTCCGACTCCACAACCCACATCTAGTAGTCTGTATTTGGTGGTTTTATCTTCTTCTGGAATGCTTTAGATACGATCTGAGAGTTCAGAGAACTCAAACTTAATGTAATGTCTATCCTTATAAAAGTTAGTTTTATTATTTTTGTAGAATATATCCCAATTCCTTTTGGCGTCTTTTTCAAGTTTAGCATACATTTCCTAAGTCATTTAATTTGTTTCCTAGAGTAGAATCGAATTAGCTTGATCTGTCATTTCCTCATCCCACTGATAGTACTTCACCTTTTAAGTTGTCTTACTTTCCTCCTAATCTTAATTTTATTTGATATCTTCTAAAGCATCTTATGCTTAATTAAACTGATCATTGAGTTATTGTTCTTCAGCTTAGAGTGTTTTTTCCATTGATGGGTTTATTAATAAAGTTATAGTATTTTGTTAAAGTTTATTATAAAGTATTTAAATAAACGAATGACAGAATACATTTGGAATTCAATGAATTACTTAGTTGATAAACTAGGTGATGCAACCATATATGTTCTTGATGAGGTAAAATTCTGGGGAGAAGTAGCTACAGAGTTTATGGAGTATGATTAAAGTAGCAGTGATAAGTACTTTGATGAGTACAGAAAAGACATCAGAGATTAAATATAAGAAATAGAAGAATGTCATCAGGAAATTGAGAATGAGGAGTAAAAATAGGAAAGTGAAGAGTAGGAAGAAATTCTAGATGACGAGAATAAGTGAGCGAATAAGCATAAATAAGTACTTATAGAAATTAGTGCATGTAAATACTGATATAATAATAATATCTATAATAAGATTGATAACATAGCCTTTTCTCATTTATTATCATTTCTTGGCATTTTTATCTACTGTTGAGTCTAGCCATTCTATTTTTAAATTGGAATAACCTAGAGGGATTCTTTATAGTAATTGAGATTTAGATGTGATGAGTCATTTGATTGTCTTCTTCTATAGCTATCTATTACTTTCTTGGTCACTTGCAACTCAATAGGCAGTTCTCTATTACCCATAAATGATGTTGAATTCCTATAGTTCTAGATTCTGTTATGGATATATGTGGGAACCTATATCCTAGAGAAACTGGTTTATTTGCTCATAAAACCTCCAATATTTGAAGAATTGCGATCAGCTTATGAGTCAAAATCAGAAACCTATTGTTTTAAGTCTGCGTTAGAGTATTCTCTGTGCATTAAAAGATCTTCCTGCTTATTTACTTTATCATAGACACTTAACCTTTTATTATTTATTCCAAAGTTAGACTTTATATTTATATTGGCAATTTCATTGCTAGTTAGATTATTGTTTTAAATATTTGGAAACCTTTTGTAGAAAGTATTAGTTATTTCAGTGTCTTGGCTTACTTATTATTTTCTATTCTGGCTATTACTATTAAGATAGCTTTTACTTTAAACTCTAGATATTCGAGATTTCCTGCTATCTACTTTAAAACTGTCATTTTGTAAAGTTTGCTTAATTGGTTGGTAAGTATGCTATTCATTGTTTTGCTTTAATGAATCATCTATATTCCTCGAGTTCTATTTTAATATAGTAATGAGCTGACCTATATTCTACTAATTACCTAAATCAGCTACTTTTTTATGATTATACCTTGCTAGTTTAGCCTTTTATTTCTACCTGATCTTCTATGCATCGTGAGGCTATTGTATTATTTCCATATTTTGTAGCTTAATCTCAAAGTTCTGAGATTTGGATACAACTTAAACATCTGGTACTTAAGGTGGTCTAAATCTATTGTACTTGCCATTCTAATCTGTGCTGAATTCACTTAAATTCTGTGTTGGGAGTCTTGTAAATTCATTTGAACTCTCAGCTGGCAGTAATTTAATAATGCTAGGTGATCCCATAATAATTTAGCTTTTGTTATTTTTAGTATGCGTAGGGTGAACTTATGATTTAGCATTCCTTGAGACGAAGCTATTCATCACTATTGTTTATTGAAGACTATTGTTCTCTTAAATTTTAGTTTACAACTATGAATTTTGATTGTTGGTAAATGATGATGTATTCTATTGTCTTATTCTACTATTGAGAGTTTTAAGCATAGACCTTTTCTCAGAGTTTGCTGATTTCAAAGTATCTAAGCCTACACCATTGGCTAGAGCTTTGATTCTAATCTGGGCTTAAACTAATTTTGAATTATTATTAAACTTGCTGGATTAATCTGAACACTTATTCTTTATTTACTATAGCAAGTCTCTCTAAATTATGATCCAAAAAAAAAAGTTACACTTTTAATATGAGTTGATAGATTGGATGCACTTGGTATTTCAAAACTTTGATTCTGATTTATAATCTAATTCAACTTATTTCTTTATCCTCTCTCAGATTTTTTCTCAACAATCTCATCCCTTAATAGTTCATTCAGGCTTTTATGATTTTACATAAGAGATTTATATTTATCATGTTCCTCTTTGATGTCTTCCAGAGTTGTGTATTTCAAGCCAAGAAGAGGATTTATCTGAACAAATTTTTCTAGAGAGGCGTCAGGTCTTAGCATGTGCTAATCAATAATTGTAACTGGTTGCATTTACTTCTAACTTTGATTTACCAAATCAATCTTCTCCTTATCTAATTGGATTGAGGAAGAAAGGATCATCTGCATGTATCTCTTCTTAATATCCCTACCTTCTTTCAATTTCCCAACTAGTTTCTCAATTAAATCTACAGATAAGTATTATTAAAAATGTTATCAAAGTCAATTTCTGTGGATTTACTTATTTTCATTGAAGCATTTTCATCTATTTACCCTTTGGTCATCATAATGCTAGGTAATGATGAGAGTTTAGCATGCTGAATAAATTGAGACTGAGTGATTCCAAGATTATTTTCACTTATATTTTATGATGATGCTTGATCTCGAATCTGAGAATCTGGAATTGAGTCTTTAAGCAATGTATCTCAATACTAATCGTATGTTAACTTAGGCGAACTGTTGAAATTTTCCAAGAAGTTAGATGTTGGTTGAATGTGAAAGGTTCTTGCCTGATATACTGTTCATCTCTCCTCTGAATTTGAAATATCTGAATTTTATTTAGGAACAAATTAGGGGCCTGAGAAATTGTTAAAAACTTCATCTTATTAGGATTAGTGTTTTTAGTTGATAAATCTAATTTTACTCATTTTATAAATTTATATCTAAGCTACATTCAAAATTATTTAATTCTCCCTATCGGGGTTTTGGGGTTTTGGGG